TAGATCCCGGTTTACCGCGGGGAAACGGGTAGAAATTACGGGTAAAATTGCTGACATCAGCACAAATTGGTAAACAAAATGGCGATACTCGTACCCGTAAACCCGAACCGGGGTATCTTAACCTCTGTAATATTCAAAATGGCGGACGTCCAAGGGGAATGCTTCCCAAACGCGCACTGGCTAGTACCATGGCGTCAGCATTTTGAATGAATCATGGCATGGCAGCTGTTACTCGAGTCGACCTTCTGTGTGTCTTTATTCGGTGTCCTAGTGCTCGTGTATGGAAGCAAAATAAATTTAAAATCTGGTCCGAGGCCGGTCTGCAATGTATTTGTGATTACATTCAGGCCAGCCTGAATTCATGCCGGTCTCAAGTTAGTCTGCTCGGTCCAGCAGGCGGAATGACTTAAGACCAGTCTTAGTTATTTTCGTCCTATCCCAGTCTCATGTAGGGCCCTATATCTATTATAAACAAGACGCCTGCTCGGGCGTTCACACCGGCCTCGCGGTTGGTAAAATACCATCGCAATATTCTAACTAGAAAATACATGCATGCAGGAACCCTCGACTTGCTGACAAACCATTGAAGTATACAAAGTAGTTGTCATGGTAACACGATCATTTTTTTAAGAATATTTTTACAAATGAAAAATCCCCTAAAAACAACACTTTTAATTACAAAATTACCAATTTCCAAAACATATATATGTTACTGGTACTGTATATTATTATACATAACATAAGCTTCAATTTAAGGTAAAATTCAACCACAAACGCTTCACAAAACGCTTTAGTGTTCTTTTAAATATTGTTGTATTGTTTTCTTTTAATATACTGTAATTACTTTAAAAGCCGATCGCTGCGTATAAATATGAAACAAGACAGCATGTTATTTCAATGTTTCTTTATTGATTACCCTTTTTATTATAATAAGCAAAGTTATTTGCATGCGAGAATTAATTGGAATCATTTTATTTCGAACTCAAAGTTTATCGATAAAGGCAAATATACCTTCGTTCTGTGTTGGTGTAGTGTACTCAGGTGAATATGATATTTGTGGTGCTCGCCCGGTGTGGATATACACTCAGAGTAACACCACAAATAAAATATACCTTCGTTAACGTCGGCGCCTTTACTCTCTTCTTTTAGCAATTCTTTCGCCTTTATTTTATCAAAAAGCTTTTGAAAATTACAAAATCTTGCAAAATGAAATATATTTGCAAGAAATGATCAAATCAAGAAATGTTTGCTATTTCGCTGTCGTCATGCAGTCGTTATAATGCAAATTTTAAATTGGACCAATCAGTGTTGGCTATTCATGACAGTTGGCTATTCGTGACGCTATATTATGAGATGAGTGAGGATGACCACCCACGCACAGTGACCCACGCCCGCGATCATTGATGAACTTTAGACTTCGCTAATGCTTTCGTCTCTCAGAGTGCAAATAGCTGGGCGGAATTAGTACCCTCGCACGTCGGCTCGGGGAAAAATAATTTGAAACATGTAGACGTTCTTCACTTCTTGACGGCCGCCACTTCATGATCACAAACTTACGGAGGACGGCACAATAAAAGTCCATACAAATTACAAGACCAACAGAGTTCAGCGAAATCATATCGAAAAACACAGGAAAATTCAAGCGCATGCGCAATTTGGCACAACGGAAATATCACCCACATTGACAAATTAAGTAAATTACAAAAAAGAGCAGCACGTGTTATCACTAACTCAGGGTATGACATAAGATCAACAGAGATATAGATTGAATTGGGAGCCTATTGCAAATATCCTCGAACAACGTGAACAAACAATGACATTTAAGACACCAAAATATTTAACAGAAATGTTTACTATTTCCCAGAACGACAATTATGCATTGAGAAGTAACGAACGAAAACTTCACTTATCAAAACCAAACACTAACTTCCTTAAGAAAAGTTTTTCCTACCGCGCAGCAGTGTCATGGAATAAACTTCCAAACGAAATTCTCGAGGAACATGAGCATCTTTTATTGAATCAGTTCAAAAGGCTTATTAAAAATTGCTAAGATAGCGAAATTTTCCCGAAATTTTATCGAATGTTTATTTGCATTGTAAGGTCGTTATATTAGTGTGTTATACTTTAGGTTTAGATTTAGTTTTATATCTTTTCAATAGTGTTAGACCACGGCCCTTTGAAAAACAGGCAACTGAAATGAAAGGTTACCGTGGATAAATATGTTTAAATAATAATAATAATAATAATAATAATAACAATAAATGAAATATAATAAAATACGTTCCATAATTACAGCGTCTAAAATTTGTAACGTAGTTAAGGTTACAGGACACCTTTTTTGGCGCTTTGCGGAAAATCCCTACTGCGCGCTCAATATCGGTCCGATTTTCATCAAATTTTCACCAAATGTTCTCCAGTGCATGCAAAATATGATTAACAAACAATAAAATAATGTAAGAATTATTCAGGAAAATCTTAAATCGCGATACCGTTACGCTTTTGAGTTGTACTCCTGCTGGTTTTAAGTTATATTTATGAAAATATCATTTTTATAACACCGCGGAAAAACGTCTGCGCATGCACCAAATTATGAAAATATGGCGGGGAATTTGAATATCAATTTCTAAAACATAAACATGCTTATTAAGTGGTCAAAAATTAGTAAAACAAACGAGAAAATATAGCAAGTGGGTAGACTAAACATTAATTGAAAGCGTCCTGGCATTTAAAGTATGGAATGAAATATAATTCATGTAAAAAATTGTTGCTTTAATTTAACGGACACGACTTCGAAAATTTTTGCAAAATTATTCAAAACAAAAATTCAAACTAAAAAGTTAAGAAAACTCTCGAAAAGTTAAGCTTCTTAACCCACTCAAATTGTAGAATAAATCCTATAGTTTAATTATTGTGAACACGAAAATTTTTTATATTTGGCGACATAGTTTTTTTTAAAGAAATGTCCAACAATCACCTTTAGTTCATGTTCTTGTACAATACAATTTCTTGAACCTTCTGGCTGTATTTATTTCTAGTTTTTAGAATGACATGTTTATTTTCGCACTCGAAATCTGGCTGTAAAGACGCACAATGAAGTCACTCCTTTTTACCGCCATTTTGAGCCTTCGGAAACGTTCGAAACAGCTTCTCATCAAGTTCGCAATACTATTACAGGTAAGGTTGACGCATGCGCAGGCGTTTTTCCGCGGTGTTCACCCAGCCAGATGTTCGAGCGCAGAAATAGACATGTCATTCTAAAAACTAGGAATAAATACAGCCAGAAGGTTCAAGAAATTGTATTGTACAAGAACATGAACTAAAGGTGATTGTTGACAAATTTATCGTCTGAAACATTTTGTTTATCAACTAAGCAACGACAATTTCCGAATTTTCGTTTGAGATACATTTCTTTAAAAAAAACTGTGTCGCCAAAAATAAAAAAAATTCGTGTTCACAAGAATTAAACTTTAGGATTTATTCTACAATTTGAGTGGGTTAAGAAGCTTAACTTTCCGAGAGTTTTCTTAACTTTTTAGTTTGAATTTTTGTTTTGAATAATTCTGCAAACATTTTCGAAGTCGTGTCCGTTAAAATCAACAATTTTTGACATGAATTATATTTCATTCCATACTTTAAATGCCAGGACGCTTTCAATTAATGTCTAGTCTACCCATTTGCTATATTTTCTCGTTTGTTTTACTAATTTTTGACCAATTAATAACTAATAAGCATGTTTTTGTTTTAGAAATTGATATTCAACTTCCCCGCCATATTTTCATAATTTGGTGCATGCGCAGACGTTTTTCCGCGGTGTTGCATCGATGACTAATGAATTTGAATATCTGCGTCTCAAATCGTGACGCGAAATTCTCATTGGTCTGATGCGATAATTTATATTATTCCGCTGAGCTCTATATATGTCAACTGCAGCACTATACATAAAAAACACATTAACTGATCAAATTGGTCTTGGCCATCTTATCTCAAAGCACGAAATGTTCTGTTTTGAGAAAACAGTATTTAAAACATTTAAACTTTTGCTTGAATATCTGATATTTCGAAAAACAGTATAAACTGTACGGTCTAAATTTAGTTTGCACGGTCTAAATTTAGTTTGCACGAAAGTTGTAAACAACACCATACAGCCAATTGCAGTTGAGCTTGCAGCTTGCATTTTAAACGCGTTGTTGCATCGTTGAAAAGTATGCGTTCATTCCTTGGAAACACGCCGTTGCTAGGGGCGTAACGTGAACTTTTGGCGCGCGTTGTAACGGTGTAAACATGTTTTTCTATTCTTGGCGTTGACGAATTAAATTAGATTTTGTCACAAAACCGACCAGGGAGTTCTAATTTGACTGCAGGCATTCTAAAAATACCTTACTGTTCCGTCGCAGGCTTAAGCAGCGTTTTTACAATATATTTAACTCGTTATACGTTTGTTTGCACGCCGTTCAGAAGTTCAACAATGCCCGCCAAAAGTTCACGTTACGCCCCTAGCAACGGCGTGTTTCTAAGGAATGAACGCATACTTTTCAACGATGTAACAACGCGTTTAAAATGCAAGCTGCAAGCTCAACTGCAATTGGCTGTATAAGGATAGACATTCCATATTTGGAAAAACGAACGTTACGGGGCAGATATTCAAATTCATTAGTCATCGATGCAGGCTCTCAATTCAGCTTGAGAGCCTGTTCGCAGGCTAATCTAAAGGCGATGCCTGCTGCGGAGGAGGCTGGGAATGTTTCTGTCGTTTGGAATCCTCGATCACAGTGTCCTCGATCTTGGAAAACAACAAACTGCGTATTCATCGTGACTCGTAATATTTCTTCAGTGACATAATTTTTGTTTATTACAAACGAATCGTTTGAAGAACAAGATCAACGAGGTAAGTGAGTTAATAGTTTTTTATCGGCGTAGTGTTTTTCATACATATATATGTTGTTACAACAAGAACGTACAGACTTCGTGCTTTAATTAAACATTTATTATTTACTGTATATGGCTGACACAAAACCTTGTAACATCTGCGATATGTATTGATGTTAGTGATGTTTTGAAAGGTCACCGTAAAACTAGGTATTGCCAGTCTTAAGCAATGCTTTCAAATCGCAGTTTAAAAGCCACATTCTTTGGCGAATGCCATGGTTTTCGAGGCATAAAGGATTCTTATTACGTGGCCTGTGTATTTATATTGACAGTGATTAAAATCAGTCCATGTTCATGACAAAGTATTTCATCGATTTTTATTCAAAAGGATGTCTGCACAACCGTAAAACGGTTATGGTGACATGAGGGCGATGTTGGTAAAATTAAAGGCTTCCTAAACTTGAGAAAATGGGTAAATTTATAGCGGTTAAATTTTACAGTGAGTGCGGAAGTACTGCAGCAATTGCTCAACATTCAGAATCATTTATTTCCTATATATAGGCATAAAGGCATTTTAATAGACATACGGTTAAGTAACCTTGGACCATAGCTACTGCACAGAATCATTTTGCTCACTGGAATATTTCCTTCACATTTCTGTCAATAATCATATGTGTGTTTTATTTAAAATAGAAAGTAAAAGTCGGCACTTTTAATTTTTCTTGGAATTTGGACAACAGGATATTAGCAATAAATTTGGATATGGTTTCGCATGGAATTATCAACTCAAGGAGAGGGCTTGATCATTCTTAATGTATTGTACAAAACCTTATGCAATAATTGAAACACAAATTTCTTGGTACATATCCTCTATTTGAGTTATTGAATATGTTCGTGTTTTTCATTATTGCCACTCAATAGCTATGCTTGACCACAAACTGTAAAATATATCAGCAACCGTGACTTAAATTCATCAAATTCAAAATGACGATGCCTTTCTTTGCTTTCAAATATACAGAAAAATATTTCAGCTAGAACCTTATAGGTATATCAAACATATTGCTGTTTAGTGTTTATTATTTTAAATATAGTTAATTATAGTTAATTTATTCAAATTGTGGTCCTGTTGTCAAGTTGCATACAGCGGCAAAACTTTCAATAAAGTAATATACCAAGTCACAGAACAGCGGTTTTCCGTGTATGAATTTTGATCAATCTGCAGTCAGATTCCAGCCATCTGATTGGCCAAATTGCTCATGATCTCTATGGAGATCAGCCCTTTTGATTGACCTGTGAGGAGTTCGGATATCAGAGGCTATCCGATTGGCTAATTCAAAAAATATTTGAATTCTCATTGGCTACATTTTTTGATCGATCATGACCAAGTTGCAGCTTGGGGTATGCATTAGCTCTTCATGATTATGGAACCTTTCTGATCTCTGCTTTCAAGTGCCATGGATGAAATCAAACAAATTATCTGTAAATATTAGTAAAACTAATTATGTTATCTTTTCGGCCCAGACAAAGAAAATTAAATATAAATTTATGTCTCCAGTACAACAATCAAACCTTAACCCAGAGGCAATGTATCAAATTCTTAGGCGTGTATATTGATGAGAATTTGTCGTGGAAAATTCACATAAATGATATTTGTAAAAAGATAGCGAAATCTGTTGGAATTATCTACAGGTCTCGCCATCTTTTATCACCTACAACCAGTGGTCGACCGGGGGCATGATTTGGGCCGGGCCGGGGCCGGGGATGCATGATTTTGGCCGGGGCCGGGGACTGGTCGAACACAATCTCGTACCCAGAGCAATGCCTGTGCGCGGGCTAGGATGGCATTGGCTCTGGGGAAATTGACAACCAGAACCCCTAAATTTAGGGGTTCCGGTTCTTTGTCGGCATGCACGATTCATAAACGTTAAACCAATCACAGCACAAGAAAAATTCAATTTCCCCAAAGCCAATGCCATCCTAGCCCGCGCACAGGCATTGCTCTGAGTACGAGATTGGGTCGAACATTGATATTATGTGATGTTGAGCGATGTTATTTAAGCGGGATTTGGAAAGGCCAGTGGAATTTACTGGACAGCGGTTTATTGCTATCGTCAGCCATATTGGAAACATTTTACGAGAATAAATGGTAGTGATGGGCGATACCAGCTTTTTTGGTTTCGATACGATACCAGTCCGATACCATGAATTTTGGTCGATACCGATACCAAAATCGATACCGATACTCAATTTTTTCCATTTATTAAAATAACTTTTAAAACACGAACATTAATGTTTAAAACAAGTCGAAGAATACTCTAACTGGAGTACCTGCCAAATAATCGAACATAACATTTGCAATTATGATTTTAAATCAAAACAGCAATGTTTTCCTCAAATATATTGCTAATTAGCTACATGTTTTTGTTTAAGAACAGCATCATGTCAACATTTTTTGCCTTCAGGGGCCTTCTGTCTGTTGCCTTCATGAAGCATTAAGTGATTGGTCAGGAATACTGACCAAAAACATCGCAGGCTCAAGTGGTATCGAATTACCGATACTTTTTGCGAGTATCGAAAGTATCGATACTTTTGTAAGTATCGATGATTTCGATACTTTTTCGATAGTATTGCCCATCACTAATAAATGGTACGTATCTTTTCTGTTCGTTGCTTTCGATATAATTTTGTCGATTTTTTTAAACTGTTTTAACTTTTACTACGTTTTTACTACGTTTTTACTAGTTTTTAGTTTTGCTAAGGTTCCCTGAATCTTGACAATTATAAGATAATAATAGAAAGAATTTGACAAATTTGAGCTTGAAATCCCCGGCCAAATTTCCAGAGTTTTGGCCCGGGCCGGGGCTGCCAATTTTGGCCGGGGCCAGGGCCCCGGTCGAGCCCTGCCTACAACAAAGTTATGCTTATATTACACTCTTATATATCCTTATCTAACCTATTGTAATATTGTATGGTCCTCTACTTATGTAACTAATCTAAACAGAATTTATCTTCTACAAAAACGGGTTGTAAGAGCTCTGACGAACTCTGACTACCGTGCCCACTCCTCTCCGTTATTCTATCAGTTAAAAATATTAGATATACATGTATTTAAATTGAATTCCTTTTACATAGGTAAATTTATGTATAAATACCACTATCACTTGTTACCTGAATGTTTCGATAACTTATTTATCACAAACAATCAAGTGCATAGCTATAACACTAGATCGCCTACATATTACAGACCTCACACGTGTCGGACAAACATAAAGCAATTCACTATTCTTTTTGTTGGTCCGAATACATGGAATTCTTTTCCACCATATATTACGGCTAAAACCACCATTTCCTCTTTCAAGAATCAATTATGCATTTTCCTACTTGAAAATTATAATATCGCATAGACGTCGAAATCGACATGTTTTAGTTAACTTGTATATTATGTAGTAATGTATGTGTGTTTTGAACTTGTACAAAGATATGATCTTATTCTGAGTTATCACAGTGAACTAGGGGGCCTCGTGACGACTGTCACTAGGCCTCCTCTTCACTCAATTTATTTATTACAAAATTATTTTAACCAATGAGATGGCCTCTTAATATAAGCCTTTTAGCTTCTTGAGGTCTTCTCGCTACTGCTCAGCTTTGATACTCAAACTACAATTAATGTAAATATCTATATTCTTGTTGTGTTGTGGCAAATAAATGATGATAATGATGTCATCGAATTTACACTGCAGTGTCTAGTAATGTAGTATTTACGATACTGTTCAGTCCACACTTAATAGCTAGGAAAGGTTAACATAGATCTGATCTGTTGAAGCATGTCCATGCTTTGAATACATGATCTGTGGACAACCTTTTACTGCAGGTGGTATCCATGACACTGAATTTAGCCTTGCTAGAAATTTTGCAGGGGAAGAAGTGTACAGTGATAAGATACATATATTCTATTTTACAGTATTTACAGTAAGCCGCTTCGACTTCACTGCTTGTGTACTTGAATTAGC